TGAGTTTAAAAAATATAGGAATATGCTCTGTGTTTTTTTTTCTCAATAAATAGTTTTCTAACAACAAAATATCTTATCTGATGTTTTAACTTTGTTTTATGACTGGCGTAATTCATCTACGGAACTTGCGAACGGAAGAATGCCAATGTTTTATCTGATAATTTTGAGTGATTGTGCGTCTGCCAAGGAAGTACTGCTGTATTTTTTAGGAAAAAGGAGCAGCGACAAAGGCAAAAAGAATCAGAATTGTTTTTTTTTGCTATAGAGGAAGATTGTCATTTCATAAAAGTTTATGAATCTATGCTGCTAATACATCTGCTGTTCTTTCTTATTGTGTGTGAGTTTACTAACAGCCATCATTTATTATATCATTCTCGAATTCATAGAACTTCTTATCTCACATTCGATTGTTTATACGCCTATGTAGTTGAAAGTGGAAGAGACGCTTATGGCGATTATATTATTAATTATCATCTAATTCCTTATTGCAGGCGTCCAGCTAATGATGAGGAATTAGAAAAAATATCCCATCTTAACAAGAAAAATATTGAAAAAATTATCACTTTCGATGAACTAAAGAAAAAGAATGTCACTGGTGAAGAATTGCTTGAATTATTTGCACCTATCGATATTGTGGAAAACTATGAGATGAACAATAATAGTTCAGATCTTTTTAATAAATGTGTTTCACCATGGTTCGGTGCTATGTGCCAATATAAATTAGCAGAAGATCTAACGTCTTCATTTAGTACAATTGTGATGGACACTTTCAATCGCTACGCAACATTTGAAGGCTTTGTCACGGTTCGTTCTTGCTATCAACTTTTAAACAATTGCCAAACAGAATATTGGCCTCGATGTCTTGATTGGCGTGAGATCTGTGATGGAAAAACTGATTGTATAAATGGAGAAGATGAACAATCGTGCAACCAGTTAGATATAACTGAATGTACTGTTCATGAATATCGATGTCATTATGGCGGTCAATGTATTCCGTTGGCATTCTTCGCAGACAGTAAACTCAGTATGGATTGTCTAGATGGAAGTGACGAGGAAGACGATCGTGCACAGTATGGTACATTGATCAATTCATACTGTTTATACGTTTACACATTCCGTTGTGAGGAACGTACTGGGCGATATCTCTTGACATTTCCATGTGGTTACGGTTCCTATTTACCATCGTTCGATTTGCCTAATCGCAAGAGTGTTTGTCCAAATCGACGGGACCTAGAATTTTCTATTTCTTTACTTACGTCATTCAATAATGTAAATGACATTACATGCCAGGAAGCATTTTACTGTGCCATTTATCCAAGTATACCATTATCTAAAGGTAAGGCTGCAAAAAAGCATGAAACATGAAAATAGTCTTTTTCTTCGATGTTGATATGTACCTTAAGGTAGTATAAAGTTGGAGCTTATGCAGTGTTAATCTAAAACTATTCCATGTGTACTGTTTTTAAGAAAAGGTACGTTACTGAACCCTTTCAAGTTTCATAGGACGTAAAAAAGCCTAAGATGATTCTTCTGATAGTGATACTGGGCGAAATTTTGCCACAAAATAATTTTAAGATTTGCGAGACGCTAAAAAGTTCTATATCGAATCGATAATACTACCTAGCTTCAAGATGGGTTCCTTATAGTTTAATGCGAAAATTTCACTCATAAATTTCGCAGTTCTTGTAGAACTTAAAATGACTCAGTAGTTTCGCATTTTTCAAAGTAGAGACGTTGTTCAATCATATTTTCACTGGAACATTAACGATGCCCATTTCAGTGTTTATCGAGAAAGTGAAGTTCAGTAAAACAGTAGAGCAGTGATTCTGTCAAAGAAAATATTGTTGGTAGATTCACTTAAAGTGTAGTCTGCGTGATCTACTGGTCAACATTGAAATGCTAATACTGATTTCATGTGCACATTGATTATGGAATAAGGGCCACACTATACTAATGGGATTGCCATTGGAAATTCTCATGTTGCTTTGGCAGTTACTATTTTCTTCATGTTGAACAGGCTGAATCAATGATATACTTATAGGTCTTCAGGGGATGGTAGAGCAAACTACTTTGATATTTTATTCTGATGAAAAGTCCTACAAGAAATTTTTTTCTTCTGACTGTTTTTCAAGGAGCCGGATTCTGATAGATTAGTTAAAAGTCTTTGATAATTGATTGAGAAACGAAATAAATTTGAAAACTAAACGGTATCTTCAATCACAGTTACCATTTACATAGAAGCTTGTGATAACTAAAAGTAGTTCTTCTTGATATCCATTTCGTTATGTGACCATCTGAATACTTGTTTACTGAGAAATTTCCTATAGATGCATGAATGTATGTTCAATATTTAGGGATTTTCTAGAAAATTTCTTGCTCGTTTTCTTTCCTAAAACATGTAATGATTTCGGCGTACTTTAGGAACATACCTGGCGGAAAAAACAATATATCTTACAGAATGGTCCGATACTCACGCATCTGAGGAAAAAATCAAAAACATCTGTTACAATTCGAACTAATGGGCTGATTTCTTCACCACTGATAAAGCCATGTTCACATTTCATATACATAAAGATAAGGCTAGAGAGACCCTTTATTAAATATCACTATTGGCTTCAACAAAAAAATTACTTTGTCACAGTTAAGAATAGAAAACAATATACTTAGCGAAGAATTCCTCTAGGCATGTATTTATGTATAGAAAGCTTGAACATACTTCTATCATTGGTAAAAAAGAACCAACATGTTTGCTCAAGCTGTAATGGAGATATGAAACTTTTTTTCATTAAAGTGACTTTTGCATCACTCTGGATCTTGTTTTTTTCTCTGTCTGTGAAAAAGTATACTTTTTTGCTGAAGCCAATAGTGGTAATAATAGAGGATCTCCTTAGTCGTATCTTTATAGATTTAGAGTATGAATATGCCTTTATTGATGGTAAACCAATCAGACCCTTTGGTCGAGCTGTCACAGAGAAAATCAATTTTTTCCTCAGATGCGTGACTTTTAGGTCATCCTGTATAATTAGTTGATAACAGTCTATTTTCCATGATCTTATTTTGTTTTATGATATGTCATTTTAATTTTATTTTATTCCTAAATCAAGAATCAATCATCACTGGAGATCATAGTCATATATTATTTCCAATCTTTGACCATATTTGGTCTGAACCTTGTAAACCAATATCTGAGAAATGTTTAGTGGAATGGATAATTGTGCCTGAAAGACCCGTTATGTTTGGATTTTTTCAACTTGTCTATTTCACTAATCGTTCGATCAACAATATGCACAGCAGCAAAATACCAGATCTTACATGCTTTGATGCACAAAAATGTCCAACGTTGTTGGACACAATTATCCCCATGAAGATTACTAATAATCTTACATGCTGTCATATTTCTAATCTCATAGAACATGTTGAATATCTTACTTTCGATCTACTATTGTCACGTTTGTCGTCTGTAAGTAAGAAATGTTTCAAGATGGGTATAGAAAAATCATGCCTTAATTCGTCTTATTTTCACTGCAATCAATCGTTAAAATGTATTCCATACCATCGTGTTGCAGACGGAATGGTCGACTGCTATCATTCTGAAGATGAACAATTTAATGCGTGCCAATTAAATGAGTCGACTCGATTTACCTGCCCATCAGATCCAAACAAATGTCTATCACTAGTTGCACTTGGCAATATATTCTCAGACTGTCCTCTAGAAGAAGATAAAGCCTATAAATATAAAATTAGTGTAGGAAAACTAGTGCCGTTTTCAACGCTATGTGACAAACATAATGACTATAATTCACATTCGACAAATGTTTCAGAAACTGATGAAAGTAACTGTCAATGGTGGCCATGCAATAATCCATATACTAGTTGTGATGGTGTCTGGCATTGTCTCGATGGATTGGACGAATTGAATTGTCCTGACAATAAATGCTCATTGGGTGAATTGATGTGTTATTCAATCACAAATATATTACCATATTGCTTACCTTACGTACAACTCTTTGACAGATATCTAAACTCCTGCCACTCTTTTACACGTCGTCAAATTGGTTTCTACAATGGAACTGAAGACATAAGTAACAATTACCTATCATGGAAAAACACATCATGTGTCACTTTAACGAAGATTTGTCAAACCCATAGTTTTTCTTCATCATTAACAATACAACCAGATGTATGTGCTATTGAACATCACGAAGCGAAGTGGATGAATACACTTGGGGTAGAGCCTGTGATGAAAAATACTATAAAGTCATGCTTTTTTCGAAAGCGTACAATTACTAGTATGCCCAAACATCTATTTTTAACATCGAAACGATTTGGCTATTTTCCACCACCGCCAAATAATCTTCCGCTTAGAGTTATTTCTGAAGAAAACCGAAAACGTACTATCATTCAAAAGATCGATGACATTTCAGCTCCCCATTGTAATCGTGGTATTGCTGTACTTAATATTTTTAATATAACACCAGTATGTTTTTGTGCACCTAATTATTTTGGTTCTCGATGTCAATGGCAAAATCAACGTATTAGTTTGACTCTTCAATTTCTTTGGCGTTACATTGCATCAACTGATGTTTTGTTTCAAGTGATTATTATGCTTATTAACCAAAGTGGATCTATCGCACCAAATTATGAACAAGTTACCTATGTACCTTCACGCGATTGTAACACAAAATTTAATATCTATTTGCTTTATCCAGATAGGCCGAAAAATTTATCAAATAATTATTCAATTCGAATTGACATTTTCGAAAAAATTAATTTAATATATTGGGCTAGTTGGCATCTACCAATACCGTTCTCATTTTTACCTGTCAATCGAATCTCAAACAAAATAATTATATTTAATAAACAAGAAACAATATCATGTTCGCTCTCATGTGGACAACAAGGTCAATGTATGAAGTATGCAAATAATAAATCACTAATATTTTGTCGATGTAATCAAGGATATTCTGGCGCACGATGTGAGATATCACATAAATGTAATTGTTCAAACGATTCATTTTGTCTTTCGCCATTCATATGTGTATGTCCATTGCATAAATTTGGTACTCATTGTTATTTAAAACAGTCAATATGCAAATTATCAATTAATCCTTGTCGAAACAACGGAATCTGTATACCAACTGATGATCGTATTAATTTAACAGGATTTACTTGCTTCTGTCGGCAAGGCTATTCAGGTCCAACATGCGAAAATACAAATAATAGAATTGGTATATATTTACCCGACGCAATAATAGAACAAAATAAATTAGTATTGATACATTTTATTGCAGCATTTGAAGATGCTGAACATGAACGTATAACTCTCTTGAAAAAGATCCCCTATAACCATTCTGATATAACAGTTGACATGCCGCAACCATTTAATATTCTTTTTGTTGAAATGTCAAATAAGAAATATTATTTAGGAATACTTCGAGAAAGATTTATAGTTTCTGAACACATCAAAACTACAATACAACAAAAACAACAGTGTTTATCGATATCAACACTTCTTAACAGTACTGTAGTGAATTCGACATATCTCCATCGAACTAAATATTATCCAATAGTATGTCGGCAACATCAGAATTTGACGTGCTTTTATGATGTTGATCTTTTATGTATATGTGATCTCGATCGATTTTCCAATTGTTTTTTCTTTAATCATACAATGAACTATGACTGTAAAGGTTATAACTATTGTGAAAATGGTGGTCGCTGTTTTCAAAATAATGAAACATGTCCAACAAAATTCATATGTATGTGTCCAGATTGTTATTATGGAACGAAATGTCAATATTCAACAACAGGCTTTCTTTTATCACTTGATTATATCCTTGGCTATCACATTAAACCACACATATCATTTAATCGGCAACCATTAATTGTTAAATTAAGTACAGCTTTTATAACTGTCATGTTTAGTATTGGATTAATCAATGGAGTTGTATCAATAATAACATTTCGCATCAAGACAACACAAGATGTAGGCTGTGGATTCTATCTATTCATTTCTTCATGCATTTCTATGATTATAGCAATTTTATTAGTCACCAAATTTTTGCAATTAGTGTTATCACAAATGTCCATTATTACAAATCGATTAGTGCTAAATTTAAATTGTCTATTATTAGATATGACTCTGCGAGTTTCTTTAGCTACTAATGATTGGCTAGATGCATGTGTTTTTGTGGAACGGATATTTACTATTATGAAAGGTGCAAAATTCAGTAAAACGAAAAGTAAACGAATAGCTAAATGGGTAGTATTATGTGTCATTCTGTTAACCACTATCACACATCTTCATATTCCTTTGCATCATCGTTTAGCTGATGATGTTGATGTTGAAGAACAGCGAACATGGTGTTTGGCTCAATACTCGACTTCAGTCAACATCTTAAGTTCATTTATTACTCTGACTCATTTTTTAATTCCATTTGCAATTAATGCATTGTCGGTGTTGTTCATTAATATATACATTGCACGTTCCCGCTCAATATCACAACCGAGATTTTCATTCCGTACACATCTAAAACTGCAATTCAAGCAAAATAAGCACCATCAAATTGCATCATCTGTATTAGTATTATTAGCATTACCACGCGTTATTATCTCATTTGCTACAGGATGTATGAAATCACCAAGAAGCTCATGGGGATATATTTTCAGTTATTTGATTACGTTTTTACCATCCATGATGACGTTTCTGATATATATTTTACCTTCAAAAACATATAAAGATGCATTTTTAGTTGCAACAAGAAGAAAACTAAATGCAGTACGCATGCGTATTAATAACTAGTATGCTAATGGTAACATGACCTATTTCAACTGTTAATTATATACATACATAGAGAAGACCTTTTCTTGAGCGAATTCTAACACACGTCCAATCAATGAAAACTAAAGGAGCAGATTGATTTGTGTCAACATTAAAAGGTCTTTTTCTTTATAATTGTGATCTATTTTTAGTTCTGCTTTTGTCAAAATCTAGAACTTCTATTGCGATGTGCTTGAAAAATGTATACAAAACCTCTAACTTTACTTCAGTAAAATAGAATCTGTTTTATATGACTACAATATCTTTTCGACTTCTTGGAAAAGAAAACAATGTTATATTAAATAGCCACTGAAACTCTATGTAAAACATTGTATAGAAACAATTTTGCACTACAGATATTTATCAAGTCTAGTATAAACGTGATTGTGAATATGACTATAATACAAGTAGATCTAAAAAGGCAGATCATACATATTCATATCTCCGCGTTTTTTAATTAATAATCGCAATTTTT